CATGCTTTTACTAAATACTGTAAAGATAGATGTGTTTTACCTAAATTAAATAATCAACAACAAATTATATTATATGGTCCTATAAATAATGTCTATGAAGTTGATCAAAAATATCAATTAATAAATGCGTTAATTCAAGAAAAAACAAATTTATTATCAGTGTTTTCAAAAAATATATCATTCAATAATTTCAATATAATGTTAAGTTATTCTCCAGATGATACAATCATATCACATCATTTAGTTAATCGTCTTATTGATGAAGATTTTTCTGTATCAATAAATTTAAATCAATCAACAAAATTCAATCGAACATTACAAGAAATAAATAAATCTAATTGTATTATTCTTTGTTTAAGCAAAAATTATTTTGAAGATGAATTATGTGAAAAAGAAGCAAAATATGCTCATGAAATAGGAAAATCTCTAATTCCAGTAAAAGTTCAAAACTAAACCAATTGAATAGTTACAAGAATTAATTGAAAAAGAATCATATTTTCAATTATTTGGTTCTGAAAATCATTTTAATTTAGAATATGATAAATTATTATTAAAAATTGTAAGTTTTTCAGAATATTGTTCAAATGATCAAATTTGAGAAGATAAATCGCATTCAACTTAATTATTGAATGTTTCCAAGAAGAATAAAAAAAGAAAGAGAGATGATAGTAAATGCTGCTTGATGAACTTTTTACTTGATTGATTTGAAAAAATCAATGATACTGATTGAAGATCCAAAAGATGTTGACGATCGTCATTAAAATCACAATACTATTGGTATTGATATGTTCAAGAAGGAAAAAAGAATCACAATGAAAATAGAAATGATCTAGAACACGAAAAGAATCAAATAAATTCTTGGAGAAGTATTTTTTCTTATCAGATGAAGTTAAAAAATCAACTCTTTATAATCAACATTGATTTTATTTTCATCAATTAAATTTTCTTAATTGTTTAATGAGAGAAATGTTTATTAAATAAATTGAATAAAAAAACGAAGATAATAAGACGAAGAAAAAAAAATCTCTAATTACAACAAAATACAATTAAAATAATACGCAAGAACATGATCGACTTTTTTTTTCCATTAATTGTTATTAGTTTAATAATATTCTTGAATTCATTGTTTGTAATTTCTTGCACTTTCTTGAATTCATTGTTTGTGGTTTTTTGCAGTTGATCAATCTTATTATTGAAATTTTTTTCAAGATTATTTATTTTTGTATCAATCTCTTCATTTTTTTTCTTAATACCATTTAATGATAGATGAATTTTACTAATAGATTGCATTTGAGAATTTGTTTTATCCAAAACATCATTTAAATCAACTTGAATAGATTTTTCTATAATTTCAATAGTTGATATTCTGAATGTAATGCTCATCGCCGAAAACGAGATCGTCGAAAAGTGAGATCGCCGAAATTGACGCCGAAACAAACATTGTCGAAACGAAAGATCGCCGAAATAGATATCATCGAAATAAAGATCATCGAAATAAAGATCGCCGAATTTTTTTCGATGATCTTCATCAGTTATAAATTCTTTCCGCAATCATTATTTTCGTTCACTCATTCGATATGAATCGCATATGGAGAGCGACTATTTACCTAT